TTTTTTTTTAAAAAAAATAATAATTCTTTTTTATCCCTCCTATTATATACTACGCTCAACAGGGAAATCGTTTAGGTTAATCCTCATCAGCGTCAGTTTATCATTTTTTTTTTTCAAAAAAAAGAGGAATTTATTTCATTCGAAGGAGTGGTTCGCATCGGCATCTCCCGCTGGTTTTCTTTCCTGAATGTTTTAAACTACCAAAACGGAGGACGTCCGTCACTTACCTATAATTAAACATTTCGGTTGATCTTCTTCTCCTGCTCATATTATCAAGGCTTCATCCATTCCCCACCCGAACCAGCACATCTCCATCTCCATCTATAAACACTTTCCTCCACCCCTCCTCCCCTGGTTCACAAGAAATCCAATTGCATCTCCACTTTGTACCTGGAACACGATCCAGTCCACCGGTCTTCCTACGTACCCTCTTCTCTCTTGCTCCATCATATATGGTTCGGCTGTAGCCACGTTTTTTGCTACCTTCAATTTCTCTTCCATCCTTCACCTTCCACAGCTCAAGCTCTCCCCGACTCTCTACTCTAGTCCTCCTATCCTATTTCGTCATGGATCTCGCTAGCCTTATCACTCCGGGTCCTGAACCCATCTACAAGTCTCGGGCATCCTACAGCCCTCCTCCTAGCTCGGCGGGTTCCTACAAGCGCCCGGCTGAATACGACTCTTACTTCTCTTACTCGCGCGCCCCGCAACCCCCTCTTTCCCCGCCAGTCGAGGACCAGCCCAAGTGCTCTCTTCCCTCTATCTCGGCCCTCCTGGAAAGTGCAGACAGCGCATCGCCATATGCTGCAAGTATGTCTCCCCGAGATCCCATTGCGCACAATGCGCATGACCTCCAAAAGCATTGATGACTGACTTTCACCTGCGCAGAGCGTCAAAGAACGAGCCCACCCCCGCGCAGGGAGTCTGAGTTCCGTTCACCTTATGACTCAGTCTCTACACCAAATGGCCCTCCTACTCCGCCTTTGCGTCCTGAATCCGGCTTCCACAGCAGCAACCACTCTCCCTCTGCTTCGTCCGTGACCAGTGGCAAGGCCATCAAGCTCGAGTCATACTCGCAAACCCCCGTGACACTGCCCAGCCCGTCCGATAGATCCTCGATCTCCAGCCAGGGCTCTATCCACCACGTTTCCGCTGCTCCCTACGCTTCCCCTGCCCCCAGTGTGGCCTCTTACTCTTCGCCGGTTGAATCCTCGGCCCCGTCCACCATGTACTACCAAAGACCTTCCGGCTCCTACCAGAGCGCCGCCACTGTGCCTACTCCACCGGCTGCTCCTATGCCTGCGTCGGCCGCACACCAGCAGATGATCACTCCCGTCACTCCGGCCTGGCAGCACCACCACTACTTCCCGCCTTCCAGCTCGGCACCCTACCAACAGAACCACGATCGGTACATCTGTCGGACTTGCCACAAGGCCTTCTCCAGACCATCCAGCCTGCGCATCCACTCTCACAGCCACACCGGCGAGAAGCCATTCCGCTGCACTCACGCCGGCTGCGGCAAGGCCTTCAGCGTACGAAGCAACATGAAGCGCCACGAGCGTGGCTGCCACACAGGGCGCCCCGTCGCCACAGCCATGGTATAAACACCAAGGCACAAAGACAAGAAAAAAAAAGAAAAAAGAAACAAAACAAAAATAAAAAAAAAAGACAACACCCAAGAGCTATATACTGCAGGTCTATGCAACATCTACCTTGCAGCACCTTCTGATTCTTTAATGATACCCTTTTATGCGTGTTATTTTTATTACTTTCTACCCGGGTTTAGGGTTCAGGAACAGGTGTCTGGGACAGGAACTCATATACATACAATTTTTTGTTTGCTTCTTCTCTTCTCACCACATGTATATATTATATGGACGGGTTTTATTGAAAGGATCGGAATTAACCAGGCGTCGAAGGAAACCCGGGGGTTTCTCCGGGTTGGGAAGCAACATATCAGGGTCTCGGGCATATGTCGGAGTCTTGGGCTTCCCTTATTGTTGTTACGTGTTTCATTTGTGTCATTTCCTTTGTTATAGTGATGTGACATGACCCCGAGAAAGAATTGTATATTTTGAGTCCTTCTCAATCAGTCTTGTATGTAGATACATCTATACAGATATGCCTATACGAACATCATTACTTGAAACTGGTTTTTCTTTTCCAAAATGCTTGCTACATTAGTACGGGCGCTTACAGAGTAGGACTGGTCAAATAAAGATTTACTATGCAGGGCAGGAGTCGCAGGACGGACTGATTGTGTGTACTCAAGTGTATATACTCAGTGGTTGGTTATACCTCATCCAGCAGCTGTACCAAACGAACATAACCCATCCAACCCTCAAGATACTGCCCCCTTATTAAATTATTCATCAACTCCTCTAACACAACTCTCAAAGCCCGATCTCATTTTACCAATTCCGAGTATCATAGATCTGAACCAAATCCCATCTCGAAAAACTTCCCCATTCAACCATCCCAACCACAACAGCAACAACAAACCCTCTTACAAAGACCGCCAAACCTCCCACTCACAGACTACTTACTACCCTACTATCCAAAATCTACCAAGGAAACGAGAGAGAACCATCCATACCCACAGAGTTTCCCCCTACCAAGGTCTATTAAAAATAATAAAAAATAATAAAAATTTAATATAGGTCCAAACCGCCGGAAGCCACGGTCCTGGCACGTCGCACGCAGCCATAGAGCTAAATCATTCCGGATCCAAACTTCACTCGAAGAATAAGTTAAGGTAAAGAATTCCGATCCTATCCTATCCTTTCACATTCAGCACAAACCCTTACCGACGATCTTTGCTCCTAGAAGATGAGGCGTTAAGAACATACGCAGACGTGGCGAACCAGCCATGCCGGTCATAGCAGTTATCCACACAACCTTGTTGTTGTCTAGGAGGTCATAGGATGTGTGTGTGTGTGTGTGTGTGTGTGTGTATGGTCTTGAGACTCGTGGGTGATTGTTAACTTGGACTATGTATTTGGGTTTCTTTTCACAATGCGGAATGTCGCGTGGAGTGGAGGAGTCCGTCCATTCTTTGGATAACGCTTTTCTGCTTTTGGGTGTAGGACTTAACTTCGACATGGGGCTTAGGAGCAGTGGGAGTGTCCTCTCCCTGCTTACCAGGATTTGCTGAAGGCACAATCCATCAGTCAGTGGCTCTTTTGGCTGCTGGTAGTACAAAGGTATAAACTACTAGCCGTACACTCAACAAGGCAAGGTTTAGGGTATCTAGAGTTTGGAGATGAGTATTCGGCAAACAAGCAGGGCAGGATGCTATCTATCGGTAGTTGTGTAGTATACTGTAAGGTTATACTGATGGGATCCGGTGGATATGTCTATTCCACCGTCATACATCCTTCTGAGAATCCTACCATCTGATAGAGGGAGGTGCTAGAGGATTGGCCTTTGTTAATATGGGGTCCTTTTCGGTGATTACTTGGTACTTTATGGTTATATTCTAATTTCCGACTGAAAACCTATTTTACTTCTAAGTACGTATAAGAGCAACACAGCCATGATAAACTCTTTAGATCATCAAGACCAGCGTTTCAACAAAGAATAGGAGAACCACAGGTAAGAGATAACAGTAGTCAGGCGGAATATACCGGAAGTAGACGTAGATTTGATCTACTACGTAGGATAGTATCCATACTCAAGCTGCCGAGGGGCTCTGGATGTGCTCAGATCATCTACAAAGCGACCCAAAAAGCGGCGAGGGCTGAGATACCAAAAAAAAAAAAAAAAAAAAAGGCAAACCTCTCTAACCAAGTCGCAAGTTGTTGTATGTGATCATCAGATGTACTGTACTGTATATAGACAGACATCTAGAACGGATCGTCGGTGGGACTTGAAATACATTTTCAACAGTCCATACCTACTACATACATACATGAACCAAGCCATCCCACCTCGTACTTAAAAACTCTTACGGTCTAGACGTCCTAACAATTCTATGACATTCGACCGTTTGAGAATTTATCCGCTAACACTTCTACATGCCAGTCCATTGAAGTCTTCAGAAATGTTTTTTTAAGTTGTCGAAGGCTTAAGTCGAAACCCTACCATGGAATCTCATTAACCTTAGCTTAAACAACGCACCTTTACCAGGGAAACCCACCGAGAACAAAGTTATAGTTCTCACCGGGCCCAGAAAAGTAATGATGCGCTACCGTACTCTCAGACCCCGATTTTCGCCTATGATTACCTTCTTCTACTTAGTAAACGGCGAGACGACTGGAGGGGGCAACGGATATGTTAGGAATGAAACGGGTGATTGGGTTTCGGATGGTTAAGGTTTGCGTTGAAGAGGGTTAAAGTGCGATATACGGGTTTGTACGTGGGGCGGTGGGTTTGAGGACGCTGATCGGAATGATCCTGGGTAGTATATCTGTAGATCATGGTGACTGACGTTTAGGTTTTAAGTATAACTCAATATGTACAGTGTGAAGTTGAGACAAATAGTTTCAGGCATTGGTATAAGCTTCAACCAAGTACACACACACATGACAAATATAGTAACGCATTCGGAATCATAAACGAAAAGAGGTATCACAAAAGACCGTTACTCCAAGCCAGAAAGGTAAATCAAGCGTGAACGTCAACATGGCCGTTACTTCTTTGAGTAGGATCCTCAACGGCCCTTCCTCGATCTCGTATAGCCCTCATTCGTCGAACGGCTTGCCCGAAATCAAGCTGCTCATAGTCTTTGGGCATATGCTCACCGCTGTAGATGCAGAGCACCCTCATGCCTGGCTTGTAGACTAACCCGCTGAGCAGTTTGGGCGTGATGAGAAAGTACTGACCGCCACCTCCGTTCTCGGAGGGGGCACAGGCAATATCCACCAGGCGTCCGTGTACCATGCGTTCATTGCGCGGGTCCATACCCTGGTTGATCTCGTCGACGACGCGGAACGGAGATGCGGAGAGCGACTGCAGAGCCATGAGGTAGAAGATCGTACTCACGGCTCTTTCTCCACCTGATTGGCGGTGAGAGTCGAGGAGGGAGAGATTCTCGTGTTCTCTGAACTTCACGTGGATCTGGATGGACCACTGATCAAAGTCGCTGCCTCCAGGCTCGCCGTCGGCGCCTGCTTCATCCTCTGCTTTGTCTAATGTGACCTGACCGGCACAGCCAATGCGGGCAAATGAATCGGAGAAAGCATCACTTATGCTCTTTATAATCTCATCGAGCTTGGGTTCCCACTTCCCGCGGATCTCGTTGATGGCGTGATCATATTCCGCGAGTTGAGTCTCGAAGTCGGAGAGCTTGCCACGCAGCTTTTGTATCTGTTTTTCACGTTCTTCGAATTCTTTAATGATGTTGCTGCTCCCCCCATGCGTGAGCTCCAGGCGAGCCTTCTCCGAATCGATATCTGCTTCCAGTTGGTCGACAGTATGATCGACCAAAGTGGCGAGCAGCGCAGCCAAGTCAGGCTGACGCTGCGACAGTTGTACAACCTTGTTTGCCTGCTTCATCATTTCTTTGACGGCTACCGACATGGTTTTCACTTCCTCATTCGCGTCTTTCAGCTCGTTATTTTTAGCTTCCAACCTGTCTCTGTGTTGTGTATTGCGATCCTTCAAAATTTCCACGTCGGAGAAAGCCTCAATATAGCGGATCTTTAACTTGATGAGTTCCTCGTGCAACACTCGAAGATGTTCGACCGCGTTCTGTCCAGAATTAGCACCGAGGAATCATGGGAATAAATAAGATAACACATACAGCGTATTCAAGTGTCGCCTCGGCTTTCTCAATGGATAGCTGGTCCTGTTGACTGCGAATATCAAGAACCCTGGTTTTTACATCTTGAGAAATTTTCTGGATGTCTCTCATTCGGAGTTCCTGCTGGCCTAATATGGAATGTCAGAATGGTCCAAAAAGGAGAGAGACGAAGAAACATACGAATTCTCTCGGGAATAGCTCGGTAGTTTGTAAGAGCTGTCTGCTTTTCGGACTTCTCCCTCTCAAGTTCAAGCTGTATAGTAAAGTCAGTGGATCTTTCATAGAATTACAAACAATTGGAAGATCATACCCGTTCTCGTTCACACTCTTCATGATCACGACCGAGCTGGAGTAGATTGGCTCTCTCCATGTCTATCTTTTCTTGCAACTCGCGCATTTCGTCCTTGAGAACTTGAATATTTTGAACCAAATCCTGCTTCGCTGATGCATCCAGGGGTTGTGATGTCCACACCTTCGCCGGCCTCACCTGTCTCACACGAGTTGAAGTCGCACTGGGACCATATTCTTTTCGTCGCGAGACTTGGTAGCTTTGCTTCCCAGACACCCAGGAGGATACCGGCCCCTGTTCCATTCTGCGAAATTCTTCGTCCGTGATGTTTCGACGGCCGATAGGCGTTTGGTTCAGCCGATTCTCGCTACACAGTGTGGCGATCACCGGGTCTGGCCCATTGATGAAATCTTTCGCCCAACCATCGAACCCAAGATTCCGAATCTCGTCCTCAGACCTGGGAGGACCGAAATTCTCCAAGGGAACAGAACTGGTCTTGATGCTGATTTCGTGCAGTTTTTGCCCGATATTTAGTTCCCTTTGAAGTGTCCTGAAATCGTTGCGAGACTGTACAGTGAATGCGATGAAATCATTCCGTTGCAATAGTGATTCGATAGCATCAGCATATTTAGGGTCCTTTACAGAGCAGGTGACAACTGGAGGCCCAAAAACTTCCTTTTCAAATTTGTCCTGATTCGCCTGGATCCACTGATAAGCCTTGTAGGATTCGTATGATAACTGTTTCAGCTTTTCTTCTTGTCGTCCCGATTGAGAATCTAGTCTCTGCAAATGTAATTCCAACTCCTTGACTTTGTCGGTTTTCTCCTTTAGGGCTTCGTGGAGTGGCCTTCGTCTATCTTTGATTTGGTTTGCTTTACCCTCAAGGTCCCGCATCTCTCGCCGCTTCTCTCTCTGTTGTATAGATGAGCATGGGTGTCTGCAAGCGTCTCCAAGCTACTTACAATCTTCTCATTATACCAATCAGCATCGAACTCAATGGCCTCTTCAGCCAATTGGCGGTTGAGTTTGTTGATGGTCTGCTGAGTTTTTGTCCCGTCCTCTTTCGATTTGGCATTGCTCTTCTTCTCCGCATCTTTTCTTTGTTCTAGCTCTTTCATTCTGTCTTCATATTGCTCGATTTTTCTCCCTAGTTCTGAAGCCGTACGTTCTGCTTCGTCAACACGTGTTTTTTTGTAACTGACGACTTCGTCGATCTGCAGACAATACTGTTGTTTCGCATTGACTGCCCTCAAAGAAGGTTCAAGCTCAGCCTTGAGGTTTTCGAACTCAAGGGCAATTTCCTCTTTTCTCCGTTTCTTGTCCTTAAAATCGTTGTGCATCTCCTTGTACTTCACCATTGGCCGGGCCAGCTCCAACATATCGATCTTCCTCTTGATCTCAGTTCTCTGTCGCATCCGTTCAACATCTGCCCTCTGCATCTCTTGTCGCCCTTCGAGATTAGCTAGTAGATCCTTGTCGCTTTTGTTATCCGCTTGCAATTTCTTCTGTTGGGCCCTCAGCTCCTTCAGGTTATCGTGCCATTCAACCATTTCAGCACCGGCTGCAGCCCTTTGTGTGGAGTTTAGGAGCTCTATGGGAGTAAGAGCAGCGAACTCGCTGACTTTATCTTGCGGCAGAAACTGACACAAGTTGTCGATTTGAATGGAGAACGACTGCGCAAGCTTCAGTACCTGGGCGCGCGTTGCGGCCTGCCCATTTATAGTAAACGAGCTTTTGTTGCCATCGCGTTTGATCGTCCGAGTCACGACCGGGTTTCGACGAAAACGGGGTCCTCCTGCGAGCTCGATCTCAATTGTAGCCTCCCTGCAACCGTGCTTCACGAATTCGCCGGGGTCCTTGGCCCGTCCCAAGTGCTAGAATACAAGACTTCATATCAGTACAGCTCTTTCCATATTCACCCAGTATCAATTCTAGCATGAATCAAAGGACAATGGTATACTATACCGCAGGCCCCCATCCCAGACCCAAACATATCGCACAAACAAGCGTACTCTTCCCCGTTCCATTCGGCCCAATCACCATATTCAATTTCGGACCGGGAAAGAATTCCGCAGACGTATAAGTTACGAAATCAGTGACCTTGATGCGCACAATAGCACCGGGTTTATATCCTTCCTGCACTGCTGCTGCTCCATTGTGCTGATCTCCATTTTGCGTGTGTTGCGGGCTGCGGGGTTTCGCGATCTTGGATCGCTTCGAAGCCCCGTTCACATTATCGCCATCTTTCTCCTCTTCCTCCTCCTCATCACTTGCCCCACTAGAAGTACCTTCTGTGTCTTCCCCACCGTCACTGCTTTGGCTGGCTTCCAGACGGATCCGTTTACTGCTGTTCGACGCGGGCGTGGGGTTGCCAGTTGAGCTTGACGAGTCGTCGCTCTCCTCTTCTTCGCTTCGTTGTCGGCGACGAGGGACTGTCGCTAATGAAGGCATCGTTGGAAGGCCACGGGCGGCTTCACGTTAGGCCCCCGCGCATTTGGTAACGACAATATCGTGATTTTAAGGCTTAAATGCGATGATCAACACGGACGCGACGCGCCCGCTGTATCTATCAATCTAAACCATATTTTGGTTAGGCGGTCACGGGTGGCAGTTTTTAAGGTTCCATGTAACTTTGACTTTCCTTTTTGGGATGTGGATCTTTGCCCTAATTTGGATGAGCTGCTGTTGTGTTTTGTTCAATATGTTGTGGATAGCTTGGTGCGAGTGAATATGTTCTTGGGGTTACTGTGGTTTTGGACTACTGTGATTTGTTTGTTTTGACTTGGGGATTGTTTGATGTGTTGATTGTTCGTCACACTGTTACTTTGTTGCCTTATTCGTAGAATCGTACATAGTACATACTATCCATTCCTAATCGTTTTCTCATACTTAGACTTTTTCTTTCACATATTGATTAAAATTGAAGGAGACGCCTGTCAGACTATTAAAGTCTGGAGGCCTCATTTGCAATGAGTGGATAGGGAGAGCAGAAATCACTTTTGCGTCATATCTTAAGCATATTCACGTCTCTCCTCGATCCATCCAGGTCTCAGGTACTCTCCGTCAAAGTTCATATCGAAGCTGGTCTCGTGGACATAGTCCACATTCCAATCAATCTTCATCTCAGCACCATCCACACTCTGACTCCACACCGTCACCGCAATCGTGTTATCCCCATTATAATCCAGGACACCCGGAGGAACAGGGAAGTCAATCTGATGACCGATATAGGGGTTAAAGCGACCATACTGGTATCCATTAACGAAGAGCAGGGCGCGCAGCTGATTAGTGTACCCTTCCGCAGAGGTAAAGGTCACATTCGAGGGAGCAGTCAAACGGAACGAGATAGAAACGTCCAGTCCCTGGGGCACGGAGAGGGGAACAACGGTGCGGAAGACGCGAATACCAGCGCCGGGAACGGTTAGGCTCGTGCTGTTCGAAGGCACCTCTTCGGCCTCATCGAACTGATATCCCGGGAGATGGATACCGACTCGCTCGGCGTACAGACTGCCCTCGTTGAGCGGGGCGCGGACCGGATCAAGGTGGTCTTCGAAGCCTGCGTTGCCGGCGAGTTTCCACTCGGTGAAGGAGTAGCTTCCGGGACCGACGAGAGTGGCGTTTGTGATTCCTCGGGGGTCGGTTGCTCCCTCACGCAGATCGTGGGCTGAGTTGTCCATGACGACGACTAGGATGTTGTCTCCGTCTGTGCTGAGGGTTGCGTTGGAGAATGAGAATGTCTGGTCGTTCTGCTCGGTTGTCGGGGTACCGAGCCAGGAGCCGATGAATTCTGAGTTCAGCCAGACAGAGTAGCCGAATGCGCGACCTCCGGTGATGTTGAGGTAGACGTCGGTTGGGGGTTCGTCGGTGCTGGGGAAAGTGGCGCGGTAGATGTGGTTGCCGACGTGAATATCGTTCTCGTCCACGTAGAGGACTGGGTTGTTTGGTGCCGGGGGAGTAGGATTGGACGAGTTTGTCTTCGTAGCCACTGGTTTCTTTTGTTAGCTGGCGGGTGCTATTGGTGACCGAGGAGGAGAGTAACATACCAACCCAAGCCTTGCTTGTAGCAGAATAGTCCTTCGCGATTTCAGGGAGACTGTCCGCATACTTCCAGCCGGAGATCGTGGGAAGTTCGAACTTGGCATCGCCTCCCAAGGTTGTGGTTATGACACCACCCTTCGCTGACTTGACGGATGTCTTCTTACCATTCCAATTGACCGAGCATACCGACTTGGGCGCAAAGATGCTGACCTTTGTAGAATTCTGGATATCTCCAGTGAGCTTCAAGTCACAGCCTTCCAATCTAGCCGAGCGAACTAAGTAGGGGCCATGGACGAGGACTGAGGCATGTCAGCGAGTCTACCAAACTATTTGTATACCGCCATCAAAGTAGACTTACCAGTGTTGTTGCCGGCCTCGGCAGGGTCATTGTTGAGAGGAGGAGACCAGAATACATGAGCAGCAGACCGATCGAGAAGAACAATGCGTGTTCCATCACCAAGCTCAACCACGCTCATACCCGCTCTCTGCATGAAAGATACTGTCACATTGTTTGCTCCGGGGTGAATCTCGATGTTCGCAGTGCGTCCTTTGTCGGCGAACTTGGCCGAATTCACTCCCTTCACGGTGAACTCTCCAGATTCACCAGTAGGGACCCAGAGAGCCAGCACTTCTTTACCATCGATAACAGCATAGGTAAGGACTTCTGCCGTAGAGTAAAGGAGCGTCTTCGAGCCGAAGTTGAAGTCTGTGACGATGATCTTGGACTGGTGGCCATTGAGAGTGATTTGGGAGCCGTATTGAGGAATAGTGACTTGTCGCGTAGTTAGCAGATTATCATTGTGATATACAAAATTCAGACTGCAAGAGGTAACATACGAGCACCATCGGATGTGTTCACCTTAACTGTGAACTTCTCGACAGTTCCAGATGGAGTGTATTCGTGCTGAGTCACGTAGAAAGCCGCGCCATTGTCTGGGTTCCTCAGCTCAGAAACGGAAACAGCTGGGTTGCTCGAATATTTCGTGCTCTGTTGACCCCTGTTAGCGTTTCTCCGTAGACGGCATTGTTCTGCTCTACTTACGTTGCCTAAACGATCGACTTTAGACAGATCCTGGGCGACTGTATCCTGAGGTTAGCTTGGCAAGCTTCCACATATCGGACAAAAGAGGCGTACTTTTCGTGAATTGAGTGAGCACTTTCGTCTCATAGTATTTCTCAATAAGCTTTCGGTTCTCTGAAATTGGAGAAGAGTAATCGTAACTCGTCGCTGGGCTCATCAGCACCTGTGGCATAAATTCGACTTGGGAATAACTCACCGACATCTGTTGAGCCGTGCCAGCCCCAGTTTGTACCGCCGTACAACATGTACAGCGAGATAGCACTGACTCTCTGATAGATCAGGTTTCGGTAGAAGAGGTTCGCGAAATCCGGGCCAAGATCATCCGGGCAGCCTCCTTGGGGTCCACCCCATGGGTTGTATGAACCGCCTTGGAACTCGGGCATAAAGCTTGGCTGTGTGCTGTAATAGAAATTAGAATGTGTAGATAGTCTCAGATAGGGCAAAACTCACGGTGATAATTTCTTGAAGTAGCTGATTTGAGGGTAAGTCAGTGTTTCACTCATACAAATCCGTGTACTATAGCACTTACTCGTAGTAGGTCAAGGTTTTCTGAGATAGTTTAGCATAAATCACTAGAGAAAGGCAGGGCGTTACTTACATATGGGATATACTCTCCATTAGTTGAGAGACACTCGCTGACATTACAGGTCCAACAAGTGGGATAGCTATCCACGCCAATGACATCGACATTTCCGGTAGCGTTGGAGAGGTCCTTGGACCATGAGTGGCCGTTCTGGTATATATCAGCCACAAATTCTGTATCTTCAGCAAGCGAGTGTATTGCCCTACCATGTTCGGAAGATTATGGATCAGAGGAGCATCAATGCCATTTTCCCGAGCAACGTCCTCCAAGTACTGCATGTATTCCTGGCCAGACGTGTTGGGCTCCTGGGTTTCCTCGTCAAGCCACTGCTCGGCGTACTCATTCTCGATCTGATACAGGATGACATTTCCGCCGTTAGTGATGAGATGAGGAGCAATGATTTTAGAAATATTAGCCCAGTACGGGGTCAAAGCCTCCAAGTACCGAGGGTCGTTATCCCGTAGTTTTCCGTAGGCACCTGTAGTTGCCCACAGAGGGAGACCGCCAGCATTGGCTTCCGCATTGACGTATGGGCCCGGTCGGATAATCATGTAGAGACCTATCTCTTTGGCTAGAGTCATGATCGAAGTGAAGTTGTGGGCTCCATTCTCGAAGTCGAGAACGCCGGGCTTGGGGGTATGATATCCCCAGTGATTGTAGATGGAAAAGGCAGTGAACCTATCGAATTCGTTATTAGCGTGTTGACAGAGGGTGTCGAGAATCTGGGACCACCTACCCCGCGGCTTTGATTTTCTCGAGTAGATCTCTCCATAATTCGGGCCTGGTAATCCATTAGCTAGAGCGTGGCCGTTGTGGGACTCTTGCCTTACACAGGAATACGCCAGTAATGGAACTATATGAGGTTAGTGCATTGAATTATACAGAATATAGGGGATTGGGCGGACAAACCTCTCCAGAGAAAACGAAATGTCTCTGACCATTAATCAAGAAACTATAGTGATCCCTGTATAGCCATGGTGTCAGAGCCAACAGCCTTGAATCCGCAATTTGACTGAACCCACCATTCTACAACGTCTGTCAAACCGTTGTCGTGCAACGGCCAACGGGTTGAGTTCTGCTGACCAGAAACGCCAACGAAGGACGCCCCCAAAGCAAGCCCGCTGAGCACGGTCTTGGAGATGAGCATCTTGTGAGTCTGCCTGGCAAATCCCTGAGGGTCGAAACTTGATCTCATGCCGCGGACGGGGGACTCTTGCCCTAATAAATAGTAGCATGGAGGACGCCAAGTAGCCGGTCAAAATCCATCGTCGTTTTACCCCACACTAGGAGCAAATTCCTGAATGGAGTAAAGAACATTGCATCATTGTGAGTTTGTGGTCGCTAGATCGTGCCACTACAGCGTACATTCGACCTGCATCCTTGGCGATATTAGGGTACTATGAAGTTGAGGCATAAGATACATGATTCCTCCAAGCTACTAGTATACTGATATATAGATTTCAATTCTACATCGATCATAGGGACTTGTATATTTTGATAGGTTATAATAAACGTTCAAAAGATAGTCGTTGACGGTTGACAGTGTTGAAATTGCATTGCTTAAACCCTGGGGTTGTGTTTTATCCGGGGGTCCCGCGCGTTGTTTAATTTCCACTCACCTCCACAATCCGGCCGACTTTAATCAATCCCCACAGGCTCGGCGGGACTTTCATATAAATTTTCCGTCCGCATAGGAGACTTTCCGTGAAGCCGATGCCGCCGATGTCGAACTACCCGAACTCTCGTATTGGCCTTTTAAGGATCTTAATCCCCACAGCCGACGAGACGCGGCTAATACAAGCCTGGATTCAGGGTAACAACCGAGCCATAAATCTAATTCTACAGGTTACAGCCTAACAGACGGTAAATTCCGAAGACGCGCCGTCTGTGCTATACAGAGCTAACCGACCAATAACGAAGCCCAGTCCCTGGTCAACCGCATTTAGTAAATTGGGTGAACTTCCTATAGCGGTTATATTAATGCATAGACTATCATTTCTACCTAACCCAGAAACTTCCGAACCATTTCTACCCTATCATATCACCTGTTAGCCAATTTTTCGGGGTCACTTCGGCATTATCCACACTGGAAATATGTACTTACGTAGCGAACGTGCCCGCGCTCACAGGCATAGCCCGAAGAAGAGCCGGTCCGAGGCCATAAAACAGTCCTCTCAAGCCACCTGTGACCCAAGTATGCCGAAAAGCGTATCTCATGTTGCGGTATTTTTTCTCGGCCCCAAATCCATCGCTTTGCATCTTGCTCTTGATCACGTCCAACGGGTGACTCAGTAGCCAGAGCGCCTCCCCCGCAAGACCTCCACATAGTGCGATCTGCCAGTTTGGGACTTCTTCGCGTTCCTTCTGTTGACGGTCCATCGCAATGCCCACGAGGCCTTCGTACGCTGCAAACCATACTCCGTAGCCGTGGATTTCTCGGAGGAGAGTCACCGCTTGTCCGCGATAGATACCGGCGATGCCGCCGGTACGGATGAGCTTGAGAGCACAGTCCCAGGGACCATTGTATATTCTCGCTGCGCCGTGAGGTTGCGTTTGTAAGCGGATACGGATATGTTCTACTGGACCCGAGATGATGCTGGTGGCTACTCCGGCTCCTGCACCGGCGAGGTAGAATTGCGATAAAGATAGGGTTGAATCATGTCCTGGGCGTTTATCTTTATTGTAGGACTCAATGGCTTGTCGGATCCCATGAAAAGCACCGAATTGAACACTGACCTGGAGAAGGTTAGCTAGAGGTGCGTTCGTTGGGTGGATAGATGACCTACGCAAGCTCCAACGCCCAACAGCGGCATAAGCGTGCCCTATCATGTTAGTAGCTTATTCCAACCAGCTTTAAAAATTCCCATACTTTGTAAAATGCCAAAGGTCCTTCTTTGGCCCAGATGTTGCGAGCGGTCGACAAGGCATCGCCTCCGTTCTGGGTTTGTAGCCGGACTTTGACTAGATCTGATTGATATTATTAGACTAAAATTAGCCACATGAATGACCTCACCATAAGTCACATACCAAAAGGCTGGCCTAGACACCATTAGCTCTATCTACCATTCACATTGTATAGTAAATGGTACTTACCGATCAAGACCTGAGTGGCACCACCAGCCGCTCCCGCGGTGAGATCCGTAACAGTCTCTCTCCAAACAGCCACATTGGGTTCGTTCGTTTTCAGTTCCGAAGTCATGATGTGACAATTATTGCTATAACCTGATCAAAAGAGCATACATATAAGTGCTCTAGAGACCTGCTGTCTAAGGCCCGCAAGTCGGATTCTAAACCGAAGTGTGGATACTTCGGTGTTGCATTCCGGAAGAGAATGTATAATGTCGGGCGTTAAATACCGAGCATGAGACGCAATACGATGCTGTATTAACTAAGTAACGATCGAAATATAGTATATTCAACTTACAACATGTCACTCGCCCTGGGAAAACGCACCTGACATCTTTCTTGGCTGCTCAACGGCAGAGCACGCCGTCATCTGGGAAGCCTGGCATCATTCAGGACTCCTCCAATTCATAATGAGCCAATGGTATGACCACTTCCTCTCCGTTGTATCTCACAGCTAATGGGAAAGCCCAGTCTTCATACGCTAAAGGCTCAGTGGAATACGCAAAGCTTAAAGATGCCATCGACAAGCTCAAGGGCCAGCTGCCCGTTAGGGCTCCCTAGATAATTGACTTGAAAGTAGTATGTCAACTATTCCTGCAACGATAGAAGCAGTTATCCATGTCATAACTCAATACCAAGGTCTAATATTCCTCAGTCAACACATATGCCAACCCCTCCTCACACCAACAAACAATCGCCACCTAAGCAGAAGCCACAACCGACCAAACCAACGAAGCCATCTTAAAAGGCCCTAGACGCCAAACCCAGCCGGGGGAAACATGACCTTTACCAGCTGAGCATCCATCTTCCTCCGAGTCGCCGAACTAATCTCCGCCAAAGACCGCTACAACATCATGGCCGCCACCATGCTAGGCCAAGGCAAGAATATCTGGCGGTTCATGTCTTCCCTGATGGGGAGTTTGAGGAGGTGTAGTCTCTCGTGGATCCTAGTACGAAGTTTGGCTTGACTGGGGCGTTTTTTGCGAAGGATCGGACTGCTATTGATCTTGCTGAGAAGAAGTCGCGTCATTTAGCGGGTAACTTCTATATTAATTACAAGAGCAGTGGTGTGGTGGTTGGACATCAGCCTTTCGGCGGTACTAGGGCTAGTGGTACTAATAATAAGGCGACGAGCACTAATTTGCTGGCTCGCTTTACGAGCATGAGGAGTATCACGAGGATTTCCAGTTAGCAGATGAGGTGACGTACCCTTCAAATGAAGTATAAGTGGATGTGGAACTATATTTCCACGATATTGACAAACAGCAATCGAACAAAAGACATATACAAATCAGAACAGTTCTTTATATACAAAGAAAATGCCGGTGAGCAAGAAATTCAAGAGAAAACAAACCTACGGGTCATTCTGTCCGTTAAAGATCTTTTCAATCTCCAACCAATCCGAATGATCTACACCGGTAAGTGGCAGGGATGGATCAAAGAAACTGGTGTAAATCCCCTCTGCCTCCACCGAAAGGTCTAGATTCCAATCCCAGTCCACTTGCATGTCAAACATCGCATTAGCGGCATCCGGGTGCATCCACGTCTCCAGAAGTCGGCTTTCATCCCGGTCCTGTTCCCAGCCTTCGGTAGCCACGGCCGTGTATTGGGGTGGTGGCTGCGAAGGAAGGGCCGGAGCCGATGAGTGAGGGCCCGTTGCGTCTACTCTCGGGCCTAGCGAAGATAAATTGATTGCACTCGGCGAGCCTCCATCTACTTCTTCATCTTGCTCTCTATCTGTTCCTAGAACATGGTTTGGCCATATGTGCAAACAAGAATGTGTGATATCTTGCAAGCGCCGCTCGGCGGCTAGGTTACCCGCGCGGGACAGAAACCGAAGAACATCAAATGCTTGGTCTAGGGCTGGGGGAGGCTGATCCCGAGCCTTGTCCACGAGGCCCATCATGACTAGAACAAAGGCGCCGGAAAATGTAGCGTCCAGATCGAAAAAGCCATATCGGGCTGCAATGATGGTTAGTGGGACAGCCGAGGATAGAAATAGGATATTACATACGTATGGTCTGCTGGTGCTTGAGTGCGTGAAGAATGGCTAAACTTTTCGTCGCGGCCTCATTACACGTTTCACACAGGCGGCCTAGCGCTGCTGGGAGAGGCTGCAGTGCCTGTTGATTATTTTGTCTTTGGACCTCCCGACGAACACGTTGCAGAAGAACAGGGCGAGTACAAAGTATAATGGCCTATCGACCTTTTGGTTAGGTAGAGCCATATAGCACCTTGCTGAGGTTGACTGACCTGGAACAACATCAGGTAGAGCGACGCGCCTGTCCGTGTTACTGTCTGCAAAGGACGGCTGAAATCGAGAACAAGAGCAGGGGGGAAGGAACGGCCTGTTTCATAAAGATCCTGAAGGATCTTCTGGATTTTGTGGACAAGCTCCATTTGAGTAATGGATGTATTTCCATATAGTGCTAATATTTCGTTAGAGGCGGGATGTATCGCTTGTCCATCAGAAATAACACATACAAGACATGATCTCGTCCGTAGCACGGGCAATACGGACATTAATAGCCAAAGCAATAGGGGATTGAAACCCGATGGCTTGTCGAGGCAGCTCAGCGCGCAGCTGTCGCTCATCTGAGCCAGCGGCCAGTCCTAGGCCGGAAGAAAGACGTCTACACCATTAGGTTAGTACTTGAGTCTTACATATATAGGCTAAAGACCTGCCGATCCAGCATGTATACTGTCCACCAAAGCCTCACGCGATGAGCTGTCTCTGAAGGCAGACAGCGTTGTTCACGAGCTGGTTTATCACAGCTCAAGGCTATAGCTAGTCGTAAAGCGAGGCCGATCTGTATCCGGTTAGTCATTGTGCCTGGTTTCAGTTCACCAATTCTTCATACATATAGATACGCATCATGCTTCCGATCGCACCATTGGAGGTAGGTGGCGATGAGTGTTAGGATCTCAACAGCAATAGCCCCTTCCTCGCCCAATTGATGCAGTGGAGACAACCGTCTCATTGCTTCTGCAAAAAGACTCGCACCTGGGGGTTGGGAGGAAGGGTCTTCTACATCCATCAGCTTGGCCATTGCCATGACAAGCAGATACTCGGTGAACCAGGTCGTGTGCATCTGGCGTTCCTGTGTTTGGTCATCCTGGAAGAGCAGTACCATGTTATCAGAAAAGGTGCGTGGGTCGAAAAAATGCTGGCTAACACCAAGGTAGAAGAGGAACCGGTCGAGTAGATGCTGTGACTCCTCTAAAGATGGGATAGTCGGCACAGCATTTTCGCTGACCAGGGGCCTCGCCGACGTCCATTTCGTTGCAGCTTCAGTGGAGCCTCTATTTTCGGGGGTCCGTAAGATTGCGCTGTTAGTTGGGTGGTTCCTATCAAGAAGTGACTTGACTTGGGATTCGAATGCCGGTCCTGAAGTCAAATCGGTTGCTAATTCAGTCAGTCAAAGTTCTACGATGAACGAGCTACCAACTTACCTGGACTAATCCCCGCGTCGCTTTCTTGATAAGGCATGGCTTCGGCTGTGTATTCATTGCGAATGCCTGTGCCTGATGTGGCAGGGGGAGCTGCTAATCCTTACAAGTCATGATTTGTCCGTGACTCTTTAGCATTGTTTCCCACATACCTTGCGAAAGAGTACTAAGTTGCTCTTCATATAATTGAATCTTATCTAGTAGATTTTTGACATGTCTATGTATTGAACTGTCAATGAAATCCCCCAGTGTTAGTGAAAAGAAAAAGGTGGACATACGCCTCGGTATACCTTCTACGACCGGCATGACCAGGTACACATTCCCAGTTATGTCTAACGCAGCTGCGACAGGGCTGATCTCCAGAGCATTTCACCTTACGTCGGCGGCAAGACTCACATCTATAGAATGTCAGTATGGTACCGTACCGTTACTGCGTGGATTGAACCTTCGGATGGAACCTCCGAAGGTTATCAGGACTCACGCATTGGTCGCGCGCGAATTTGTAGTCACCATCTTCAAATGCTGTCATAAGCGCAATTGGATTGGAATACCAAGTAATCGACAGCACTAGTAGTATCGTGTAATACGTCTATGAGTGAAAGCATCCATGGAAATCGTCAGTACTCAAAGATAGTTGAGGTTGTTCGAGTGGAAGGTGGGTGGGGTTTAACTCGGAAGAGATCCCGGTCTTTGAATTTAATAAATCAAAGTATTTGACTAAACGGTAAACCCTACCGTAGTTCGCTGCTGCAAATTTCCACCCAAGATTCAAGATACATATATTGATTTTCCCCATATCCATAACAGCCTGAAGATATGGTCCAATATTTGAGCTTTATCAGTACGCCGCCGTACAGTGCCATAGTCTGGTTTGCTCTTTCGGCTCTTTTGTTTTTACCGAAATATCGGATGTGGACTATGTGCCTTGACACTTACTACCGTGCATTGAGTGAGAGGCCCATACGAAAGAATCTCAGAACAATAGTGGGGTTCTAGAGTAAACTACCACCGAAGACTAAACAGATTCTTGATCCGACGCTTGGCCTCCATCTTAAGCGCATAATATTCCTGCTTCGTCCGCCCTACCGCATCACGATTCTCTACGGCCCGACGTAGAAGGTAAGATAGACAATCCTCGAGAGTTCCCCAACTAAGACACTTGTATACTTCGGGAGACGCCTTTTGTGCCGCTTGACTGCTGTCATCACGAAGCTGCAACAGACGACAACTAACCTCGTCCGCCATCCCCAGCAACTGTCCATACTGCACCTTAGTAGTCGGTTGCCCGGCGGCAAGTCGTTCCTTGTATAAGGAGTCCGCTGCCAGAGCACTTTCCTTATTATGTGTAGCAAGAAACAGCTCTGCAGAAGGGAACTGTCGTCCAACCCCAAAGGAACCGTATTGGTGGCGTAGAATTCCAGCTGCAATTACATTGTAAGAGTCGTCTGTACCAGGTTTTGTATCATTAATCAAATGGCGTGGCTCGGAGTTGATATATGCGCCTCGGACTAGTTTCACACCAAGAGTGAACCCTTCCTTGTCTGCTAAGCCAAGATGGGAAAGAAGATTCTCGGGAGTTGACTTGAGATATGCTTGGTAAGTATTGTATACCACGGCAATACCGTTTCGATTGTAGCGACGCATCAGATCTAAAGCAACAGCGTCAATACCGGATTGGACAGACTGCTGCTCTGCGTCGACAAAGATGCGTGCATTACGCTCAATAGCACGAGTGCAGACATCCTGCAAAGCAAACATCATCTGCTCCGGTAAGGACTGGTTGGAGGAGAGCGCATGCATTACTTGAGGACCTGCCCCAGTGAGTCTGAAAGCATTGTGTTAGCCTTTTAGCAAATAGCCTGATGCGGAATCAGCTCACTTCAGGGCTAAGAAGTCATCAGTTCCCAGCATTTCGACCGTCTCCAGAACCCCTTGCCTCCAGGCTTCAATTTCAGGGCTCTTTGTCGCTTGTGCGTTGGCCTTCTCATTATTCGTTGTAGGGCTATTGACCTTTTGGGATGAGGCGTCGACCACAATTTCTCGAGCGTATGTAAGGATGACACCTTTAAAACCCATGTGCTTGATCCGGTCAATAGTACCAGTGACTTCGACAGCATTCTCCCCAGCACAGAAGTGGCTGTAGAATGTTGTTTTTAGGACCCCGCGTAATATGGCATTCTTATTCACATCCAAGAAAGATAGTCGAGGCTGAGCGATGAGGGAGAGCGTCCTCAACGCTGGAGTCAACAGCCACGGGTGGGACGAAATAGTAGCCACTAAAAGCGATCGCCATAGCATCTTACCTGGCAAGAGAGAGTGTGGCGGCAGTTGATCTTTAGGTCCAGATACGGTCGATCCATCTCGACACAGCCAGCGCGGGTCATGCCGGCCTCGAGATGTATTCACTGCCAACCGAGCCCCTCGGAAATAGCCAATAGACGGTCTTGAAGCCATAGATACAAAGTGCTCGTTGAATTACTCAATACTAGCATAGACTGTAAGTTATAGGGCTGGTATAATATACACAACTAGTTTAAGAAAACCCCACATCGTCCGAGTGGTTCGGATCATATCCGAAGCTGTCGGGGGTTGTCTCCGAAAAGGCGTATGTCAATGGAAGGGCGTGTTTTCAACATCAAAGATTGCTATCAAGATCTATTCCCTATGAGTAAGGCGCCATTATGTAATGATCCTTATCGTTCAACTTGGAACTAATCTTATCAATCCCTGTCGCTTTGGCCCTTAACAGAGTTAAGGAGACAAGTACAGAGAGCTGTAGAAGAAGGGGAGACAAGAGCGAATGTTAGCTAGTGACGATATTGGCAAGGATCACCGGTCCTTGATCTTACAGTCTGTATCTAGCATAGTTACAGTCAATTCTTGACAGTTTTGACCAAATGTTAACTCATAGTTGAATTGTAGGTAGGTGCTTAGCAATATAGCTAGTTACTAAATACGGTTAGATTATGGAATCTTGATCGAAAAACGGCAAGATCGGATAGACTAGAGTTACAAAGGAAAGCTAGCTGGAAGTCTATCTTTCCTAGAACAGAAAGCGGTACTCTACGATTCCGCGCTAGTAAAGACCGCTTGAACCTCGTGGCCAGGAAATGGGCCCTCCAGTAGTGTTATAGACCTCCTCTATCTCAGCCAACTTTTGTTTATTCAGCTTCAAATTTGATAGGAATGTTAAGATATTTATTAATACTAGCCTTATCTATTGTAATTAGCTTCTTATAGGCCGAAAAGTGTAATATAATGACCCACCAAAAGATCCAACATCTGCCGGTCCTTAGTAGAAAACGTTCAAAAATTCTGCCGGCTCAATGAATCTTATACGGTTGCCGCCTTGCTTGATCTGATTTAGCCTCTCAATTAATTGCGGAGATTCATCGTCTCCGCACGAACGATCCAATTCCTAAATATCCTTTTAATCCTTGCGATATAGAGTCAATCTTACCTCTCGTCTCCAACATGGCCTCTACCCAGAAAGCTCGACGTCTCATTCTAACCACCGCGGTGGTCTCAATCACCATCGCCGGAACACTCTACGGCGCCGGTATCAAGACTGACCAAGAGGTCACCCAGGTATGGCCACAGGATGCCATTGATATTTCCCCGCCTGTTTCAATTGGCTAACTACTTTTTCTCCGCGAGTATAGACAGTCCAGAAAAAAGAGGAAGCTACAATAGACGAACGAATTACGTCTCTTCGGGACATGCGGCAAAATCTAGCGGCGAAGAAAGGGCTTGTTGAACAGCAGATTCGCGATCTTGATGCTCGAATTGAGGAAAGGAAACAGAAAGGTCTTGACGGATCAAAGAGGGAGCCTCCTCATAATGGTTAAATACGAGGCTATGGTTACAGAATTAAGTTTGAGGTTGGTGCTCCTTGAGAAAAACGATTTTGCTCTCCGGCCCTTTGCGAAACCCTGATATTTATTCTTTGTTTCGCAGACAATAGGCCATGCTGGATTATCTATAATAATATAATGTGGGCGACCCCTTCGGTATATCGAGCCCTGCGCTGGGCTTGCTGGTTGCTACCAGGGTGGTTTGACCTCCGTGGTTTCGATAGGCAAGCTGAACCAGTTTGAGGTTTGGTTTGACGACGAGATCACTATAGCTCTTACCGTGCTCGATCATCAATTGCTCACCATATCGCGTCGCAGTCCTCACGCATTCACGTTTATATTGGGCCAAAGAAGCGTTCCAAGGTTGCTGCAACTCGAGGGCGGCAGGTATGAGGGAACGAATCACTTAAATTAAATAAGTGCATGGGTCGGCCTCTGGCCGTGCGGATGCTGTGCATCCTTCAAATAGATTATTCCAGACCCAGTTGCTTAACCAGGATATGGCACAACGATGAGCACCACTCAATAACATCTAAAGATGTTTCAATTGAAATCTCACATTCTATTTCTAATGAACGATTGCGCTATAGGGGTATATTCAACTTAGATCGCCTTAATGGATATGTGCGTCGTCCAAAACTGGACTGGATAACTTCTCGGTGTAACGCCGGAGACTTGACAAATGAAAACACAAGTATATAAAAAGATAAAACGAGGGTCGCTGGCCCAACAAGTTACGGCCTGCATGTCGCTTTCTTCCACGGTCAGATAACAACCAAACCATAATGCATCAATCATCTAGAATTCCACGCGAGAGCGCCGCGAGGCTTGCTTCATAACGTGCAGGATTGTGATCACTGAACATTCCTGATCCGAATCTCATTTCTCCAAAGACGGATTCGACGTCTCGAATAAACTTGAGCTGGACTCTAGTTGCTGGTCGACCTAGTCGCGGATGGCCATCATCACCCAGATCGGACGTGAAAGCGTCCCGCTGCAGGACGCGCATTGTCTCGACCACGAATACCTCTCCCGGAGGCATCAGCTTAGGCGCGAGCATTTCCTCTCTCAGCATTTTGAGAGTCTTCCATGCCCAAGCATCTTCGCCAATACCGTCACCAGCATGCTGGACTATAGGCGGCTCGTTGACGTAGAACTTATTAATGATGCTCTGCCGTAAGCTATTCCAAACACGGCCTTGTACATGCGATTTGGTTCCTGAAACGTCACTCTTGAAAGCCACTGATACCGTATGCATATCATGCAAAATTCCTAAAGAGAGGCTGGGTACCACATCATGACCGTTAACAATCGTCGTGATTAGCCCACGTGTCGCACGGCGAAGAAAAGGGGACATGGCTGCAGGCGGACCATATGCGTAAACGTGTATAGGTCGTCCCGAGGGAAGAAAACAAGCCGTCTGGTTAGCCTCGCTGCTTCCAGTTAGGAGTAAATGTTGCGCGGTGGCTTGGTATGAGGCAGTCACAAACGATGTCCCAAAACCATCATTCGTAGGTTCCGATATCATAGTAGCTAATAGTGCAGCAACGCCTCCGCCTAGCGAGTGACCGCAAAGCACCACACCATAATCTGGGAATTCCTCCAAGGCAGCTCTAATTGTAATCATAACTTTCCCACCTCCCCCCATCAACAGTCGTTGCGCAGAAGCATGCATACCCTTATGAACTTTCCAGCTCTTTCCTTGCCATTCCAGGTCATCATAATCACAGGTCATATCTGTGAGGATATCTTCGAAGCCCCATGTCCCCCTAAGCGTCAAGACAACGGCCTTCGATTCATGATCTAGGAACAGGTAATGAACAAGAGGAAAGCCGGTCTCCGTCTCCCCAGCAGCGTTTGACCCACCTGCGGGATCGACAAAGGATGATAAAAGAATTGTTGAAGCCGGTAGGCCGGTGTGATCTGAAAAGTCACTGTGCTCTCGACTGTCAGATTCTTGATATGCAAGAGCCTTGGTCGTTGGTGGAACACCCATGACTTTGAGGGCATTTGACCCATAAGATGCCGAGGAAAACCGGAGGAAACGCCTTATATTTTGCACAAAATGCTTTTCGGGAAAGATTCCTGGTACAAGTCCATCGCGGCTTAATGCTTGTATAGTTTCCATATCATCGTAAGCACTCTTGCGGGACCGATGTGCAAGTATGAGTGAGGTCTCCGAACCAGCCGTCGCTAAGGAGTATATGCTGGGAGTAAACGTATGAGAGCTTCTGTGCAAATTTGAGGAGCTTGGACGCCCATCATTGACAGACACAGACATGTCCGTCTCAGATCGTGTGACTGACATAGAACTGCTGCTACGCACATGTGTCCTCACACCTGCAGAAGATCTTGGGCGTACGTTTGTCGAATAAGCATCGGTTTGCTTCATGAAAGATTCTTCATTCTTCTCATGTATTGCATAAAACTCAGGCATCGGACTCCTCTCGGGGGCCATTTCCCGTGCGCTAGTACCTCGTACTGTTGAAGGGACAGACAGTCGAGAGCTTTGTAAAGGCGATCTTGGTGAGCCTCGGTTCGCTACAGGCGAAACTCGAGCCTTGGAAGAAAGTGGTGGCTTTCCCGGTTTTGCTTCTGCGGTAGGTTTCAGAGATTGTCTGGGAGCTGATGGTTTTCTTTCAAAGACAGAGCCTTTGGAACCCTTGCTGCGTTGGACAGAATGAACAGGTGACGTGTTAGACTTGTCCTTCACTGACAGCCGCTTACTCTGGTCACTTCTCTCAACACTCGCCGGCTTCACTTTCTGTGCAAACCTCGTCAGGGAGCCTTTCCCAAACGAGCCTTTCGAAGTAGTGTCGGCTTCGTTTGAGGGGGTTGGAGGAGAGTCTGTACGGTATCGCTTAGAGCTATTTGAATTAGCGAGTAGCGCTGGCTCGTATGAAGATTTATCCAATCTATTCATTCCCAGAAAACGAGCGTTTCGATGGCTGCCATCTCCAATTTCAGCTTGGGTGGCTTGTATTGGCTTGTCTTGGGGTATAGCATGACGGTGATCTACGATAGTAGGTTCGACGTCAGGGAGTGAGTCAGTAATCGCAATACCTTGACTCAAGGAAGGTCTCTGGTTGTCATGGTCAGAACTGATCTCGTATATGTCCGAGATATCGTCTCCACGTGATAGCCTCACGTCTGCACTTTGAGATTTATTGAAAGCCGTTCGAAAAACAACAGTGTGCTTGGGAAATTGGGGAGGACTCGATCCTCCACTACCGCCAAGGCTTTGGTCGTTACGGAACCTTTCTTCAATCATCATCGTACCGGGCGGAGCAGCAATTTCTGCGCTGTCGTCATCATAGATATCGACAGTAATAGTACGTGCAGTGACTAGATCAGTCTTTATGGAGGCACGACAGCCTTGAGGAAGCTGCTTCATAATATACAACCGGATCTCATCGTCGGACATTTGATGGTCTCCTAGAGGAAGCGAAAGGGGATGTTTCTCAGCCATATCACCCCTACTCGCCGGACGCTGCACAGCATCGAAGGTTTCTTCGTCATTGCCGGGCGATATAAAAGATGAACGCCTCGTTTCATCGTGAAAGTCGCTCCGACGCCTTCTTGTATGTTCTATTTGGTGCATCCCGACAACATCTGCTCTGACGCCATTATCCAAGATGACAACATCCCAGATTGCCTCGTCCCCCCCATTCGTACGTATTTGTCGTTCTGTATTTTTCCTTCCCCAACGTTGAAGCATGGCGAACCCAACTGTGCCTACTAGGAGGTCACCGACACCAATGTTATCATGGGTCATAGACTCAACGCTTGGGTTCCGAAATTCTCTTCGGATAAGTGTTATGATAGCAGCTATGGCCCTTGACGACTCAGTTGAGCCGAGTATTGCATCAAGAGTAGACAGAAGCGCCTGAGACATATTTGAAGCAGATGAAAGAGTTGTAGAAGAGAAATGGAATGTTGCAGCAACGAAGAACGATGCAGACGTGACCGACTTGTGCAGAGTAGCAAGCTAAACATGAATCAGCCAATGTAAGTCAAATTAGATTAGGCACTAGATCTGAACTTACGCTTCGCTCTAGTATAGATTCTGCTTCTACTTTGCCATGTTCTCCGCTGCTCCTCGTAGCCACATCCCGCCCGGCCCTTGTCAGGACGCCTTCAATGACTGCTCTACTGAGCTCCAATCCCGTCAGTGTGGTAGCTCTTGCTCCATCGATAGCCACTCCTCCGAAAAAAGTCCCGACTCGGAGAGAGAGCGAAGTAGACTGGGTAACAAAGGAAACAATCGAAGCCACTGGACGTGGAAGTAGAGTCGCGCCTGATGTTGCGGGTGTATGGCTTGCGCCGTCATCCTGGGCCACTTCCAGATCAGGCTGGGCCTCAACTCGCCTCAACATCGACACAAGGCCGAATATATTAGGCATCGTGAATCATTAAACAGATCACTTGAACCTTTTTTTTTCTTATTGTATTAACATTAAAAGGGTGTTTAGGATCCATGAGCGAACGCATCCAGAAACAAGAAGAACTACATTCGTGGCAATGGAGATAAGACAAAAAGATAATGTAAGTATGCTTTTGCCAAATTAAATCAGCGCGTGGGATGTTGCGTCAGTGACCGGGTTCCTGGCGGAAAGGCAATGAGGTGTACGGAGTAAGTCGTCTTGTAGATCAGCACCAAGCGGCAAGGTACAAGTCATCCTCCGCCTTCCGCGCATTAATCAGGGGGGGGGGGGAATAGTACGTTGAGGAGAGTGTCGAATATTTGACATGTGATTTTCAGCTCCCCCCAACAACCTTGGAAAGTATTTAAAATCTACTCCTTTGGAACCGGTTCTCGGTTATCATAACCGTGGAATCGCATCTCATGATTAGCCATTTTCTCAATACATACTAAGACTATTGATGTAGAACTTATTTTGTGATCATTATTTGTTTTCACGGTTTATTCATTGGCCTGACATATCCGTACATTGCTGTCTTAAACTCCGCTCGCCGATTTCCGTGACCGAGGAAGAACACTGATCTCATGACAGACCGCTATACATACAAGCCAATAATAATCATTTTGGTCTTTTCACATCATAGCCTTCAGGTCTCCTGGATACTGGACTTTCCTGACTCTATCTCGAGTACATTCGGCGACGGTGCAAATACCGGACAAACTCATAGTCTGCCACAGATCGGCCAGCAGCCCCTTCATCACCGATTTGGCTCCCTCTCTTCCGTTGATTGCAAGCCCGTATACTACAGGTCTACCCACAAACACTGCCTTGGCCCCTAAGCATAGAGCTTTCACGACGTCTGCACCAGTCCTGATCCCGGAATCGAATAGGACCGTCATCTTGTCACCGACAGCTTCCACTATCTCAGGAAGCACATCCAAGGAGCCAATGGCACCATCCACCTGTCGACCTGTAGAGTGTCAATAATCAATTCAAACGGCATTACCAGGTGGTAGTATACGTACCCCCATGGTTAGAAACGACGATCCCATCACACCCAGCTTTGAGAGCAAGCTTTGCATCCTCTACATGCTGAATCCCTTTAAGAACGAT